GCCGGAGCAGAGCCCTGCTGGCTGGACGAGCACAGCTGCGGAGCCGGGGTGTGAAACGTGCAGTGCTGGTGCGGGAAATCAATAGCGCTCTTTACGTGCCATTAAGTGGGAGGTTAGCCGGAGCAGAGCCCTGCTGGCTGGACGAGCACAGCTGCGGAGCCGGGGTGTGAAACGTGCAGTGCTGGTGCGGGAAATCAATAGCGCTCTTTACGTGCCATTAAGTGGGAGGTTAGGAAGCGGCCCCGCGGGGACGGCGCTCAGCTGCGGCAGGCGCCTCGCTCCTGCCCTTGCTCTGGTACTCCAGCGAGGCTGGCGTCCTGCTCCTGTGCAGATGCTGGCCACATCTGGGGTTCCCATGGCAGAGCGGGAGCTTGTGGGGCAGGGATGCACGGGGCAGGGGTCCGTGGGCATGCCAGGGGCGCAGGATCCCCGCTGCTGGCAGCATCTCTCCAGCTCCTTGCTGGCCCCTGCTGCACAAGGAAGCTCAGGCCCTGCCCGCGCTGGAGCCCAGCGCCTCTCCACAAACCTCATTCCCGTCAAAAGCCTTTTGTTTCCGATGTGCTGCTGCTGCAGCCAGGCCTGCCGGGCTGGCAGTGGGGGAAAGCGAGGAGGTTGCCGAGAGCTGGCAGCGCAGCCCCAAGCTGGCACCGTCCCCTGCTCTTCAGGCAGGGCATCCCGTGTTCCCGGGACCCGCGCTGGCGGAGACACCCTGCAATGTCACCCGCTCCTGGCCCGTCCCCAGCTTCAGGCTGCCGCGCGGGAAGGGGATGTCACCAGCGGCTCCCAGCACTCTGCTGCGTGGTGTGCCCTTCTCCTAGCCCTGGAGTGTGGATCGGGTGCTCCCTGCTGCTTGGCGTGGGTGAGGGACGTGCTGCCCGATTCTCCCCGTGCAATTAGCACTGCTTCCGACGCGGGGACTCTCTCTGACCTTTCCACCAGAACCGCACTTAATAAATGTCACATTTCCAGCCTATTTTTACACCAGGTAAATGAGCTGGTCTCATTCTTTCTCACCTGCCTCTGGCCTACCTGGCGCCTCTGGTGCTACTCAACCGCCAGGAGCTGGTGGCCTTTCTCTGTGGCCCTGCTCCCACCCCTGCTCCCTTTCCAGTGCAGGAAAGTAGGGAGAAGCTACGTATCCATGGGGACACTGCCACCCTTGCAGGCCGGCGGTGGTTCCGCACTGGCAGCCCCCGCAGTGACGCTTTCACAGCCCCAGCTCAGCGTCCCCCGTGGTGCAGGGGCTCT